TTTAGAATAAATCAAAAAAATAAAATATACACTTATGAATTACATGTTTGAAAATATTTCAAACATATAACAATCATAAGAATCAGAAAACTATGAAAATGAGAAAAAAAATATTAGAAAATTAAATTTTAAATGTAAACATATAAATACTAGAATGATAAAAAGGATTAAATATGAAATGTTGCTCAGCGTGTGTTATTATTGTATGAAACTAAGCTAAGTAACTAAGAATGTACAGATGAGATGAATTTAAAATTCAATGCAATGAGAAATTAAAACATCATGAAAACTGAAAAGCAAAGTAAACGAAAAGCTTATCGAAGTGCGCTTAAGCAAATTTCAATTTACGCAGTTGCATTTGATATTTGATAACAGCATAAAAGGTTATATACACATATGAAATGTTGCTAAATATGACATATAACTAACCATACATAAATATGAAAGTATCATCGTGCAAGAGAAACAATTAATGAAACATTACGGAAGATTTGCTGCAACTTATAAATTCAAATTGATACTTTTGCTAAGTATCACTAATGGCAATATATTTGTTAAATTTTCGATACCAATCAAAAATGCATTATCAGCATTTCACCGAATTTGTGAAGGGAGAATTTAACAGAGCAAATACATACTATAAAGACCAAATAGAATTAACAGAAAAGAGAAACTGACAAAGATTGAAAGTAACTGACGGAAAATTAATTTCGCATTTAATTCGAATTTTGAAGATGAACATGAGCTGACTACTAATGATTCTTTTACACACACAAAAAAAAAGAGTACGCCTTGCCTACTCAAATTAATGATACTAAAGCATACTGTACTTCAAGTCGGACTGTATTCAAATTAATAAAGCAAAAAGTAATTCAAATTGAACCACTTTTGATAAGCAAAACTGATATTATCTGTAAGATGAAAACTAAATGTTAAAACAAAAGGAATTGAACCAATTTTCTAGAAAAAAAGAAGGAAAAAATTTGCTCATATTTAAAATCTAAACTGGAAATTAATACTAGAAGCAAGAAAGCAATGAGTTTAATTAAAATTGATAATGTTAATCGATAATAAATTTTACAAAAGTGTTAAAAAGATCAAATCTTATATAAATCAATTAATTACCTATCCTTTCAAATGATCATTTTGTCCTACCTTATCCAAATTTTTCATGGATAAGGTAAGAAATGTTGTACAATATGACAAAAGAGTAATGATAATTGATATGAGACTGGTAGTGATGATAATGGTAGATGGAAGAAAATATTCAGGGATTGATGATGGAAGCTAAAGATGACAAAGAGGACAAATATTGAATTTTTCAATCTCTGTTCAGTAACATTTTAACAGCCTCTTTCCCTAATTCCTTATAAATATATCCTAATTCGTATTTCTATCACTCATATCAGCAGCATTTAATTTATTTGTTAGCAATTTATAATTTTTATCACTGTTTCAAACCGAAATAAAATGTATTTATATTTAAACTTAATAAATTGTCCTATCAAATTTTCAATAATTTCAAATGAAATGAAAATACGGGCATACAAGTATTAGCTGATAAAGTGACAAGAAAAGAAGAAGTTATCAGGAAATATGGTTTATCAAAAAGAAAAAGAAATGATAAGGAATAGGGAATGATAAAATGATAAAGAAATTAAACGATTTTAGATTAGAAGAGGAAATTATTATAACAGGAATGAACATTCTTCAACTAATATGATAACCTCTGAACTGTTTTCCATTTCTTTACTAATGGAAATTGAACGTGTTCATAGATTTTAAAATAAATAGTAAGAATGCTGGCATATAATATAGATATTGCAGGATAAAATGAAAGATCACGAACCAAGGTAAAAAAAAAGAAAAAATAAAAGAAGCGGCAAGGAAATGAGGAAGATGAGAATCACTAAGTCGAAACTTTAAATCACAAAAGGAAAAATGGAATTCGAGAATTCTATTATTACAGTGTTTACCAAGAGAATACAAATCAGCTACTATCACTTTCTATGTATAACATAAAAAAGGTTTTTGATTTTTTCTTCCCCTCCCTCCTCCCTATCAACTTTTTCTACCTTTGATAAATACCATCAAAATTGGCAATAATTCCAAAACCAAAAAAAGAACCTAAGTGGCTACTAAAATATTGAAAATGGTATTTCAAAATTTATAAAAATAAAAAAAAAATTGTTGACCAAAGTACAACAATTTATATTAACTATAATATGCTAAAGTCATCACAATAACTTTAGGTAAAAGAAGAGGAACTGCGCAAAGGACATTTTATTTCTGTAATTAAAGTACAAATTGTTTTATGCAATTAGCAATTAAAACAGAAATTTGATAAGACAGAGGAGTTAGAAGAAGGAAGAAAAGAAAGGATTATGCTAAGATGAAAAGGAGTCAAATATCAAAAATAAATAAAAGCAACCAGAAGAAGCACAAAAATTCTTTCTTTCTATGAAAAGAGATTAAAAAGAAGCTTCTTACAATAAAAATATAATCAATCTACCTCTTCTTAAATAAAATATTAAGAGTTATTATAAGTAAGAATTGGTACGAAACAATCAAAACAAATGCTTTGAAAAAGTTTTTTAAATCAAAAAAAAAAAGCTATAATGAACACTTTCAGTCGTAAAATGCATAAATAAATGTAAATACTAAATAAATGTAAATACTAAAAATAGATAATGAGCAATAATAAGCTATTGAATCTAATTTATTATAAACTTACACAACAAATGGCTTATTTAGTTTTTTTTTTTTTTTTTTTACAGTGAAATGTAATTTTTGCTGATATTTTTTCAGACTTTCCTTTTCTGGAGAATATATTTAATGTTAAATTAAATTAGTAACCACTGCAAACTTCTAACAAAATGAGCAACATGAAATCAACAAACAAAAGATAATACTTTGTAATTATTAGATTAACACCATCCCAACAATGACATCATATTTTACATTCAAATAAAATAATGGAAATAATGTCCAAAAAAAAAAAATTCACTGTATCAAGTTAATTTTCCTATTCTATGTTTTTCAGTACTGAAACAAATTTTTCACCTTAAAAGTTTGCAGCACAAACTTCCCAACATTTCAATTCTGCAGCAAAGGTTCTAAAATGATTACTTCATTAAATATTCAAGATGTAACACTTTTAAGCAATAATTAAGGTCATATTGTTTAATGAATAATATCTAATTTAGTAATGTAGCTCCAAATAAGAAATATACACAAATTTCAATATATTTTAAGATTTAATTTTTCAATATTTCTTATATTTTTATAGTACAATACTTTAAGATTTAATTTAACAATACAATACGTTGAGTTCATTGATATGTGACACTTCAGCAATAGTCGTAACAGGAATAATAATCATAAATGCAAAATTTGATAAAAACTTTCAATTTAAACATTTTTAAAGAAATCAAAAAGATGTAACATTACTTCTAAGCACTAGATATCAGCAAACTCAATATATTGTACGCTAAATTAGATCTCGTAAACTCTTCCATACACTAAAATCTTTCACCAGTGCCTACACCAAACAAGTGCCAATATCTCAATTTTCCAATATTTCAACTTTGCAGCCAGACTTCACGCGGCCCATAAATTTTTACGCAGCCGATCGTTTCCATTGGAATGAAAACCGAATGGATCACAGCGATTTGTGGAGTTGTCTGTTATTTGATGACAGCAAAAGTATTGTCGAAAATTCTTCATGAAATTTTCTTTCTTTTTTTGTCGAAATTAGTTGCTATTTTGTTATAATTCAGCATGATGTAATATAAAATACGATTGAAGTAAATTATAACTAAAATTAAATTTTCATTTCACTGAAATTTGACAAGTTTTAACTTATTGGATTGGGTTAGAAGAAAATTTAATTCTATTCAATTCAATTTAATCAGCATTTTTGATACTTTATCCGTCACTATGAGCAATGAAGAAGATACCTTCACATCATGTATTTTTATTATTATTAAGGAATAGTAAGGAAAGAAAGGAACTATGATGTGAAAAAAAGCTGAAAAGAGGAGAAAGTTCAATTTAATTTAATCCATTTAAAAATCATCGATGCTAGTCAGTGGCGCAAAAATTTTCATCCACTTATCATGACCGCCTGATGTATCATGATAATTTTATTTACATTCATTTATAATGAATAATAAATGATTTATTCAAAACAAATAAAATACTTCTGTAATATAATATGAAAAAATGTATTACTTCGTGTTGAGTACTGCGTGGGTTTTGTTTTTAATTTGAATTAGTTTCTATTCAAATTCCTTTCGTATCGTTCAGTTTTTTAAAAATTCCTTTTTTTTTAAATAAATTATTTCATCGAAAAAAGAATTTTAATCTTCAATTTTTCTTTTTGCCATTGCCCTCATTACTTTCACAGAAAAGATTACTTTTCGGAAAATTACAAAATGAAATTGAAACATGAGTTTAATTCTCAATCCAGTATTGATTGTTTTAAATTCTTCCCTACTAGGTTTCTGCAAAATTTTTATGATTTTAAGTTTGGAACAAAAATAGCTATTCTTCATGTTTTCGCTAAAAAAACTGTTTTAAAAAAATCGGAATTCAACAAACTGAAAATGCTTAAGACATTGAAAATGAGGTAACCAACAATTTTTGCCCACCAAAAAAAAAAAAAAACAAGTTTTTATTATGGAGTTTAAACTTTTAATTGAAATAAATTTAAACGCTCTTTTGTCATCTGCATTAAAACGAAGTACTTTTTCAGAGAAAGTTTATGAAATATATTTTGGAAATTTTTGTACTCAAATTAACAATTTAATTGGTGTAGTTTAAATCAATGAAAATTTTGAAATTATTTTCTGTTTTCTTCATTTAATTGGCTTTAAATTTCTACATCTGTGCAGATGGCATCTAACAATGAAAATATGCAAAAAATTGGAGTTGAAAAATTAATAAAAACTGCTAATTTCATTTCACAATTTATTTCTACTGGAAACAGAGAAATTCTAATGTTCTCTCATCCATTAGAGCAAGCAATAACATCGATAATAGCTTCTGACATATTTCTAGAAGCGATAACTTGTGCAAGTATAACATTTTCATTCTTGATTATTTGACACATGTTCAGTTTTGAACCAATCAGCTCAAATCAATCTGAATGAAAGAAAAGAAATGTAAGGTATTGTGTAAATACGTGGTGGAAAATTTTTCTAAAGCAATCAAAAAAAAAAAAATTCAGAATTTGGTTTAAAGTGAAAACATTTCTAAATAGCAAATAACAACTGAAATCAGTAATCAAATTCAATTTACTAAAAAATGTAGTACTTCTGAGTTATCCATTCCCTATTCTTTATTAAAAGTTGAACATCTTGCTGTCCAAAAATTTAGCATCTCTTTACTTTGTTTTTTTTGTCAGATTAAACTGAATGTAAACAAATTTATTAGAACTTAATAAAAATAAAAAAAAAAAATCATGAAAGCAGTGAAGCAGGTAGTAGCTAGCATCAGTAATAGCTTCCAGAATATTTCTGAAAACGATAATCTTGTGCAAGCATAAGTCCAGTTAAATCAATCAGTTTCAATCAACGCGAAAGGAAAAAGCGAAATTTAAGGCGATGAGACATTTCAAAAAAGTTCCTTCATTTCCAAGAAACTATCGCATGAAACCGGATCAGAAATACGAACTATGAAGAAAATTCCATCCGGTATGAAGAAACCAGGATTGTATCCTGCTACTCGTACACAACTACGAAATCATATCGTTGTGCGCCAATGTAATCGATTATTTAACGAATGAATTGCAAGTAATGGAGACACCGAAAGGAATTCAATTTTAAGAATTAACAAAACAAAAAAAAATTAAAAATGGAAAAAAAATCCGACGTACTAACTGGAGCTGATTATTTCTGATTAAATTTATTATTGTTGAAAGTAGTGAAATTAACAAAATTTATAAGAAGAATGCCATTAGCTTTTTTCAGATGTATTACCAAAACAGTTATCGAGTATAATTGAAGTACATCCAAAGGATAAGGTAAGTAGGTAGCTAAATTGTCACGGATTTTTGTCGCGAAACATGTCGTAATTTGAGATGCCAATGCTGAAGTTTTGCAGACTTTGCTTTGAGAGTTTAACCTTTTCATTTACGATAATCAGATCTCATAAGAAGTTTATAAGCTTCAAAATTGACTGAGATATACCTACTTTTCTCTGGTCATATACCTTATCTAATGTTCAACGTGGCGATTAAAATTTCAATACTAGAGTGTCCCAGGTTTTCTCGTGAGGCTCTAGTTAGCACAGTATTCATTTCATATTTCGATTGTTATATTTTTTATTCAACCTTAAAAGACTCTCCATATTTGTCTCTTAGCGTTTTTATCATTTCGTAATTTTCTGAGACTGTAGTATAACCCTTAATATTTGCAAAGTGTTTGAAACTATTCCAAAACTATTGCCAATTCTAGGGTCTACACTAAAACTTTAGTCTTTAATTACTAAGTGACCATTTCCCTTTTCAATAAAATTTCATCAAAACTGAAAAACATCTAAATTTTTGAGTTTTAAACATCCCAGTTGATACATGTTAATTGGAAATTAGTTGAGATTTTTAGAATAGAAATTAATTGTAGCCTAAAATTGAATTAAAATTCGAATGATAAAAACAATGAAAACTGGAGCTGAACAAAGAATTTCAAGAGGAATACCGACACCTGCATTAATAAATATAACAATTTACAAAAACTACTAACCGGAATGCATATATTCCATCAATTCATCAGTCGACAAAACTCTCACCGACTTGACTATGTTTCAAACTTACCTTATTTTAGTATTGTTAGGAAACTGAAAACATGTTTGCAATGTAAAGCTGAACGCCAGAAGTAAAAAGATCACCTTGAGTAATAAAAAAATTGGCTACGCTATATTACTATATAAGGTCTCCTTTTTTCTTCATATTTTAAAATTTAAAACCAATCTAATTTAACATTGGAATTCAGAAATATAAATGTCTGAAGTATCCTTCTTGGACTAAAAGAAACGATAGTCCTGAATTTCAATTACTTGAAAAGGAAGCAAACTTATACAAATTTCAAATATGAAATCACTTCTTTTGTTGCGTTCTTTCTTTTAGGCTATAAACTCTTTAACATGTTGAAGAAACAATTAAGTTCTTTACTTTTGCAAATTTAATTTTCACCATATAGAAATTTGCACCAATTTTGGCATTCACAACTGCAGCATACAAAGAAATAAATCATAGAAATTGGAATAAATAAAATAATGAATTTGTGAAAAGATTAGAAGAGATAAAATATATGTCACGTTGTGATTTTGTGATAGGTGCAATTAGTGATATCGCAGCAACGAGAACATAAGAGATAGATTTAAAGAAATATATTGACTAATAAGATATAAATAATTAACAACAACAGAAATAGCAATGAGTGTGCATTTCTTCTTTTAAAGTGAAACGCAAAGCGTAAGCTTTAATGGTTCCGTATGTGCAATTTCAAGCCGAGTTTACTTCTGAAACCCTTACTGCATACCGTACAACGGTACATAGGTCTATTCATGTCATGAGTCGCAATGTGAGTCTGTAAATTGCACTTTTTTAAAAAACTTTTCCCGCATATCGGACAACTGCACGGCTTTTCACCGGTATGGATCATCATATGTTCTTTCACATGCGCAGAGAGACTAAAATTCTTTTTGCATATTGAGCAACTATACGGCTTTTCACCAGTATGAGTCATTATATGTCTTTTCATATTATTGGACTGAGTGAAATTTTTTTTACATATCGAACAACTGTACGGCTTTTCACCGGTATGTGTCAACATATGAGTTTTTATATTCCCGAACTGAGTGAAATTCTCTTTGCATACCGAACAACTATACGACTTCTCGCTAGTATGTGTCATCATATGTCTTTTCATATTCCCGAACTGAGTGAAATTTTTTTTACATATCGAACAACTGTACGGTTTCTCACCGGTATGAATCATCATATGTTTTTTCATATTTCCGAACTGAGCGAAATCCCTTTCGCATATTGAACAACTGTACGGCTTCTTACCGGTATGAATCATCATATGTTCTTTCATATTTTTTACTTCCTTCTGACATACATTACAGCGTTGTTTCTTTCTTGTGCTTTCTTTTTGCTTTGATAATTCCATTACTTCCATCAGTGTTTCGATTGGAAGGAGCCGTTCAAGCAGTTTTATTCGTCCATCACTTTCTGTCTCCACTGATAATCCTTGGGATTCGCTCTTTTCCTTTTTTATTTTCGATATTGATAAATCCAACGATTCTGTTTGATCCGTTTGTGCTACCTCAAATTAATATGCAATTATCAATCTAACACTGTGCAAAATTTTAAATCTCCAAGGTATTACAGCGTTATGTAGTTTTTAAGTGGACTTACGGTAGTTTGAATATTGCTCAATTGAAGGAAGAAGAAGAAAAAATAGATCGAATACATGTCAATGATAATAATTTCTGTCCAATTCTAAAAAGTAATCAAATTTACTGGCTGCTGTTTGACAAAAGTGCGAGGGAGAATTTTGTCCAATTAAATGCTTTTTAAAATATATGCCATTATTTACAAATTTATCATCGAACCCCAAAATTCTTCTTATAACTCAAAACTCTAAAAAAAGGTAACATCTTTTATTAAAATAAATGAATGAAAATTGTGGAAAAGAGTTTGACAAAGGCCATCCAATCACTTCTGTTAGATACTATTGGATAATTGTATCTATAAATGCTTATTCAAATGGGAGTGGTAAACTAACTACCTGTATCGATAAGTTATAACGTCCATGTATAACAATATAAGTATACTAATAATAATAGAATATAAAATATTACGCATGTTTAATACAATAGCAATCACTGTTTAATCTTCTACATTGAATAATTTCATTTTAGTTGCTACATACATTGTTGGAAATAATTTATGCAAAACAGTTGTCATTTTTTTTTACAATTTTATTTTATTTTGCTTCAATTTCTCCACATTTTCAAATCTATGGAATATTAGCGAAGTTGGATAACTACATTGCTACGTCTTTTGTAGTTGGAATGGAGAAAATTGAAGATGTTAAGGAAGAACTTATACAAATGAGAAAGGCTTGTTAAAGAAATGTAAGCGAAGTAACCTTCGAGCATATTCCAATCAGATCGAACCGGTTCACAAAGCGGAGGCATCTATGGATTTTTTATTTTTATTAAATTCTAGAGAATTATTTACAATCAGTTTAATTTGATAAATATGTATAAATTATATCTTGTCACCATCCTTGTTTATAAGAAAAAAATTGAAGCCTGTCCCTTCTGTCCTACCTAAGTTTTACAGTTAGGAATTGTAAACAGTCCCAGTTCGAGCTTTGTTGTGGTCATAGATACATAATCATAGGTAGTTACATAGCCACAGATGGCGAACCGATACCATCTAGTTCAATATTTTTTTTTTCAATATTTTATATATATTTTCAATATTTTAAGTGTTGCCAACCATACACTGATTAACAGTTATTGGACGGAACAAATGTTTTTCATTATTGATTACTGCAAATAAATGATAAAACTTTACCACCTCCTTTTATTCTTTTTCAGTTTCACAATGCTTGGAATTTGAAAGGTTAATAAATATTAGAAATCATCATTGGTACTTATTTGACAGCTACTTTCATCATATGATGTTGTGCACAATGACTGTAAGAAAATTTAATAAGCCTAGTTTAGCAAATTTAAAAAATAATAATGAAGTGTAAGCAAAAGATTCGAAGGATTTAAATTTTTTTTTCTTCTTAAATTTCTGAAATTTTTGAGGTGTAATCTGAAATTTGACTGATAATTTTGTTAATTTAAATTCTGAAAAAAGAAAACAATCATAATTTGCTGAAATCTCATTATTCTAGTGATCAAACAGCAGTTCAAGAACGAGCTACTATGCTAGGCGCAAGCATACTATTTCTAATTGTTGCTGTTCGACCGGAATATGGAACAATGCTGCAGAATACATTGCATTAACTAAAGTGAAACTGTCGATGTTTCTGGAAATTTATAAATTCGTTAATAAAATATTAATTAAATAAATGACAGTACTTAATAGCGGAACTTAGTGCTATTCATTTAGGTATACCAGTTATTTTGCACCATATTAATTATTGCACTACATTATTAGCAACTATCATTCCTTCGTCATCCATTTTCTTTTCTATTTCTTTAGCAATATCAGCTGATCGTAAAGATTGTCTGATCTATGCTTAAAGTAAAGAGCAAAGAAAAGTAGTAAAATTTATTTCGTCTTTTTCATTGAAATTTTTCCACTGAGTTATTTTTTATACTCAAATCTAAAGTAAATATCAGCAGTAATTTCACAAATTTTCTTCAGCTTTTTATAAGCTTTTGCGCCACGATGTCAATCACTTCTTTTGCTGCGTTCTTTCTTTTAGGCTATAAACTCTTTAACATGTTAAAGAAACAATAAAATCTTTTACTTTTGCAAATTTAATTTTCACCATATAGAAAACGGGACAATTTAATTTAATTAATTACGAGTAGGCGATTAACCAATTTTGGCATTCACAACTGCAGCATACAAAGAAATAAATCATAGAAATTGGAATAAATAAAATAATGAATTTGTGAAAAGATTAGAAGAGATAAAATATATGTCACGTTGTGATTTCGTGATAGGTGCAATTAGTGATATCGCAGCAACGAGAACATAAGAGATAGATTTAAAGAAATATATTGACTAATAAGATATAAATAATTAACAACAACAGAAATAGCAATGAGTGTGCATTTCTACTTTTAAAGTGAAACGCAAAGCGTAAGCTTTAATGGTTCTGCATGTGCAATTTCAAGCCGAGTTTACTTCTGAAACCCTTACTGCATACCGTACAATGGTACATAGGTCTATTCATGTCATGAGTCGCAATGTGAGTCTGTAAATTGCACTTTTTTAAAAAACTTTTCCCGCATATCGGACAACTGCACGGCTTTTCACCGGTATGGATCATCATATGTTCTCTCACATGCGCAGAGCGACTAAAATTCTTTTTGCATATTGAACAACTGTACGGCTTTTCACCGGTATGGATCATCATATGTTCTTTCACATGCGCAGAGCGACTAAAATTCTTTTTGCATATTGAACAACTGTACGGCTTTTCACCGGTATGAATCATCATATGTCTTTTCATATGGGCAGACTGACCAAATTTCTTGTTGCATATTGAACAACTGTATGGCTTCTCACCGGTATGAATCATCATATGTTCTTTCACATGCGCAGAGCGACTAAAATTCTTTTTGCATATTGAACAACTGTACGGCTTTTCACTTGCATGAGTCATCACATGTTCTTTCACATGCGCAGAGAGACTAAAATTCTTTTTACATATCGAACAACTGTACGGCTTCTCACCAGTATGAGTCATCAAATGTTCTTTCACATTTTTTACTTCCTTCTGACATATATTACAGCGTTGTTTCTTTCTTGTGCTTTCTTTTTGCTTTGATAATTCCATTACTTCCATCAGTGTTTCGATTGGAAGGAGCCGTTCAAGCAGTTTTATTCGTCCATCACTTTCTGTCTCCACTGATAATCCTTGGAATTCGCTCTCTTCCTTTTTTATTTTCGATATTGATAAATCCAACGGTTCTGTTTGATCCGTTTGCGCTACCTCAAATTAATATGCAATTATCAATCTAACACTGTGCAAAATTTTAAATCTCCAAGGTATTACAGCGTTATGTAGTTTTTAAGTGGACTTACGGTAGTTTGAATATTGCTCAATTGAAGGAAGAAGACGAAGAAATAGATCGAATACATGTCAATGATAATAATTTCTGTCCAATTCTAAAAAGTAATCAAATTTACTGGCTGCTGTTTGACAAAAGTGCGAGGGAGAAATTTGTCCAATTAAATGCTTTTTAAAATATATGCCATTATTTACAAATTTATCATCGAACCCCAAAATTCTTCTTATAACTCAAAACTCTAAAAAAAAGGTAACATCTTTTATTAAAATAAATGAATGAAAATTGTGGAAAAGAGTTTGACAAAGGCCATCCAATCACTTCTGTTAGATACTATTGGATAATTGTATCTATAAATGCTTATTCAAATGGGAGTGGTAAACTAACTACCTGTATTGATAAGTTATAACGTCCATGTATAACAATATAGGTATACTAATAATAATAGAATATAAAATATTACGCATGTTTAATACAATAGCAATCACTGTTTAATCTTCTACATTGAATAATTTCATTTTAGTTGCTACATACATTGTTGGAAATAATTTATGCAAAACAGTTGTCATTTTTTTTTACAATTTTATTTTATTTTGCTTCAATTTCTCCACATTTTCAAATCTATGGAATATTAGCGAAGTTGGATAACTACATTGCTACGTCTTTTGTAGTTGGAATGGAGAAAATTGAAGATGTTAAGGAAGAACTTATACAAATGAGAAAGGCTTGTTAAAGAAATGTAAGCGAAGTAACCTTCGAGCATATTCCAATCAGATCGAACCGGTTCACAAAGCGGAGGCATCTATGGATTTTTTATTTTTATTAAATTCTAGAGAATTATTTACAAGGTCACCATCCTTGTTTATAAGAAAAAAATTGAAGCCTGTCCCTTCTGTCCTACCTAAGTTTTACAGTTAGGAATTGTAAACAGTCCCAGTTCGAGCTTTGTTGTGGTCATAGATACATAATCATAGGTAGTTACATAGCCACAGATGGCGAACCGATACCATCTAGTTCAATATTTTTTTTTTCAATATTTTATATATATTTTCAATATTTTAAGTGTTGCCAACCATACACTGATTAACAGTTATTGGACGGAACAAATGTTTTTCATTATTGATTACTGCAAATAAATGATAAAACTTTACCACCTCCTTTTATTCTTTTTCAGTTTCACAATGCTTGGAATTTGAAAGGTTAATAAATATTAGAAATCATCATTGGTACTTATTTGACAGCTACTTTCATCATATGATGTTGTGCACAATGACTGTAAGAAAATTTAATAAGCCTAGTTTAGCAAATTTAAAAAATAATAATGAAGTGTAAGCAAAAGATTCGAAGGATTTAAATTTTTTTTTCTTCTTAAATTTCTGAAATTTTTGAGGTGTAATCTGAAATTTGACTGATAATTTTGTTAATTTAAATTCTGAAAAAAGAAAACAATCATAATTTGCTGAAATCTCATTATTCTAGTGATCAAACAGCAGTTCAAGAACGAGCTACTATGCTAGGCGCAAGCATACTATTTCTAATTGTTGCTGTTCGACCGGAATATGGAACAATGCTGCAGAATACATTGCATTAACTAAAGTGAAACTGTCGATGTTTCTGGAAATTTGTAAATTCGCTATCAAAATATTAATTAAATAAATGACAGTACTTAATAGCGGAACTTAGTGCTATTCATTTACGTATACCAGTTTTTGCACCATATTAATTATTGCACTACATTATTAGCAACTATCAGTCCTTCGTCATCCATTTTCTTTTCTATTTCTTTAGCAATATCAGCTGATCGTAAAGATTGTCGGATCTATGCTTAAAATAAAGAGCAAAAAAAAGTAGTAAAATTTATTTCGTCTTTTTCATTGAAATTTTTCCACTGAGTTATTTTTTATACTCAAATCTGAAGTAAATATCAGCAGTAATTTCACAAATTTTCTTCAGCTTTTTATAAGCTTTTGCGCCACGATGTCAATCACTTCTTTTGCTGCGTTCTTTCTTTTAGGCTATAAACTCTTTAACATGTTAAAGAAACAATAAAATCTTTTACTTTTGCAAATTTAATTTTTACCACATAGAAAATGGGACAATTTAATTTAACTAATTACGAGTAGGCGATTAACCAATTTTGGCATTCACAACTGCAGCATGCAAAGAAATAAATCATAGAAATTGGAATAAATAAAGTAATGAATTTGTGAAAAGATTAGAAGAGATAAAATATATGTCACGTTGTGATTTCGTGATAGGTGCAATTAGTGATATCGCAGCAACGAGAACATAAGAGATAGATTTAAAGAAATATATTGACTAATAAGATATAAATAATCAACAACAACAGAAATAGCAATGCGTATGCATTTCTTCTTTTAAAGTGAAACGCAAAGCGGAAGCTTTAATGGTTCCGCATGTGCAATTTCAAGCCGAGTTTGCTTCTGAAACCTTTACTGCATACAGTGCAGTGGTAGACAGGTCTATTCATGTCATGAGTTACCATGTGAGTCTGCAGATCGTTTTTTCGTACGCAACTTTTTCCGCATAACGGACAACTATGTACCTTTTCAGTGCCATGAATTACCATATGTTTTTTCACAATGTGAGGCTGTGCAAAATTCTTTTTGCATATCGAACAACTGTACGGCTTCTCACCGGTATGAGTCATCATATGTTCTTTCATATTTTTTACTTCCTTCTGACATATATTACAGCGTCGTTTCTTTCTTGTGCTTTCTTTTTGCTTTGATAATTCCATTACTTCCATCAGTGTTTCGATTGGAAGAAGCCGTTCAAGCAGTTTTATTCGTCCATCACTTTCTGTCTCCACTGATAATCCTTGGGATTCGCTCTCTTCCTCTTTTATTTTCGATATTGATAAATCCAACGATTCTGTTTGATCCGTTTGTGCTACCTCAAATTAATATGAATTTATCAATCTCACATAAAAATTTCGAAATCAGCGAAGCATTGCAGCATTATGCTATATTTTATTAAGTTAAATGAACTTACGATAGTTTGGATGTTGCTGATTTGGAAGAAAACGAAGAAGATATGGAAGGAATGCATACTGATGAGAGTAATTTCTTACTAATTCTGAAAAATATTCAAATTTACTCGGCAGTTATTTATAACAACATGACCGTTGCTCCATAATTGAGTAAAGAAGAAATTTCTTCAATTAAATGCTTTTCCAATGATATATATATATAATGAAATCTCAAAGATTTTCTCATTATGCCAAAATATGAAAAAAGTTGACACTCTCAGTAGAAATAAATGAAAAAGGACTGACTGAATGAAATTTGTGGAATTGTATGTATAAATGCTCAATTCAAGTAGGAATGGCAAACTACGTGTGCTAATAAGTTACATGCGTGTAACAATATAGGTATAGTAATAATAGAGGAATTATATAATAGTACGCATAATAACAATCATAGTTTAATTCTTTATATTGAATAGTTTGTTCTCAGTTGCTATATTGAATTGTATGAAATAATTTATGCGAAACACTTGTGATATTTTTTGCATAATTTTATTTCATTTCGCTTCAATTTTTCCACATTTTCAAATCTTTGCAATATTAGTCATATGGAAAACTGCATTGCTGCATCTCTTACAATTGGTACCTCTTAAAAGACAAATCTGCCATTACCAATTACAGACGCAATTCGTCGATTTATAATGAAATTTTACAGGAAATTGAATAAGAATTCATTTTTCTATTAGGCAAGAGTAATATTTTCTTTGATATTGCATCCATATATATGTTTTGCTTCAGAAAATGAATATTTTTTGTGATAAAATGCTAAATAAATGACGGAACTTAGTGCTACTCATATGACTCTTTTACAGTATAGCATAATTTTGAATCGCATTATTACACTACAGTGGAGGTTTCTTATCTTTTTTCTGCATTGTAAGTTTCATAAATATTTGTAGCTCATATTGTTTGCATTAAAAAGCAGCTAAATTCTAACGTTAAGACTTAAAATGGGCCAATACTAAAAATAAATCTTCCTTTGCCTTTCTTCTGAATGGTTAAAAATTCAACCTACTTTCGTTATGATATCAAGTTGACTGTTATCACTTGATTGACTAACCACAGATAGGATTTTCTCATGAGACAGCTTATGATGAACATCCTTCAGATCTTTTGCATTTATTTAAAAGCTCTGCAAATTCTTGGTCAAATATATTGCCGACGAAAGTCTGAAGTTTTCTGCGCCAGTGATTAGGGAATCAATTACAACTCCTGTTCTGACACTATTGTTTAAAAATCTTTTATCCAGTCGAAACTTTCATTGATTTTTGATCAATTATTCAGTCACTCAGCAAAAAAAATATCAGAATTTAAGATAGTTTTAGTCCAAAAATCTTTATTGCATACAGTAAGGTGGTAGGAGATATATTTATGTCATGATTAAAAATTAGCTAATGCTTTATTCATTGATGGATTTATTGTTAGGTTAGATTATCAAATATTTTTATTGAGTGGAATTTTGAATGCAAATAGAACAACTGAAACAGAATTTCGAATGTAAATTAACAAATGAAATGAATGAATAAATTTTCGTTACGACATGATTCTATGAAATGATATGTTGCGACTAAGAAGAATCTCTTCTATACCAAAAATTTATTTCCAACAATCGAGTGAGCACCTCATTTCATTAATAATTTAACAACAGCGATATTAATTTGCAAGTTTTCATGCATAGCATGCAAGTTATGTATGTACCGCCAGGAAATTAATTTATTCTAACAAAAAATAAAAAAGTGGAAAAGATATGACACAATATAGATATATGACTAAGACGAATAACTTGCACGCAACCGACAACAATAATAACAGTGATAGAAAATATAAATAATCAACAATAACAGAAACAGCAATACATATTGCTTTTTTTTTAAAGTAAAGTGTAAAACATATGATTTAATGACTGTGCATGTGCAATTTCAAGCTACGTTTGGTCCGGAAATCTTTATTGCCTACAGTGCAATGATAAGCAGTTCTATTTGTGCCATGAACTACGATGTGTGACTTCAAACTGTGCTTTTGTGTGAATTTCTTTTCACACACGGGACAACTGTACGGCTTCTCGCCAGTATGTGTCATCATATGCCTTTTCATATTCCCTAACTGAGCGAAACCCCTTTTGCATATCGAACAACTGTATGGCTTCTTACCGGTATGAGTCATCATATGTTTTTTCATACCCCCATACTGAGTGAAATTCTCTTTGCATATCGAACAACTATACTGCTTTTTACCAGTATGAATCATCATATGTATTTTCATATTCCCGAACTGAGTGAAACTTTTTTTACATATCGAACAACTGTACGGCTTCTCACCGGTATGAGTCATCATATGGTCTTTTATGTTTACCACTTCCTTCTGACATATATTACAGCGTTGTTTCTTTCTTGTGCTTTTTTTTTGCTTTGATAATTCCATTACTTCCATCAGTGTTTCGATTGGAAGGAGCCGTTCAAGTAGTTTTATTCGTCCATCACTTTCTGTCTCCACTGATAATCCTTGGGATTCGCTCTTTTCCTTTTTTATTTTCGATATTGATAAATCCAACGGTTCTGTTTGATCCGTTTGCGCTACCTCAAATTAATATGCAATTATCAATCTAACACTGTGCAAAATTTTAAATCTCCAAGGTATTACAGCGTTATGTAGTTTTTAAGTGGACTTACGGTAGTTTGAATATTGCTCAATTGAAGGAAGAAGAAGAAGAAATAGATCGAATACATGTCAATGATAATAATTTCTGTCCAATTCTAAAAAGTAATCAAATTTACTGGCTGCTGTTTGACAAAAGTGCGAGGGAGAAATTTGTCCAATTAAATGCTTTTTAAAATATATGCCATTATTTACAAATTTATCATCGAACCCCAAAATTCTTCTTATAACTCAAAACTCTAAAAAAAAGGTAACATCTTTTATTAAAATAAATGAATGAAAATTGTGGAAAAGAGTTTGACAAAGGCCATCCAATCACTTCTGTTAGATACTATTGGATAATTGTATCTATAAATGCTTATTCAAATGGGAGTGGTAAACTAACTACCTGTATTGATAAGTTATAACGTCCATGTATAACAATATAAGTATACTAATAATAATAGAATATAAAATATTACGCATGTTTAATACAATAGCAATCACTGTTTAATCTTCTACATTGAATAATTTCATTTTAGTTGCTACATACATTGTTGGAAATAATTTATGCAAAACAGTTGTCATTTTTTTTTACAATTTTATTTATTTTGCTTCAATTTCTCCACATTTTCAAATCTATGGAATATTAGCGAAGCTATTATTTACATTTTTTTTTTTTTTTGCAATTTCCTAACCGTAAAACTTAGGTAGGACAGAAAGGACAGGCTTCAATTTTTTTCTTATAAACAAGGATGGTGACAAGATATAATTTATGCATATTTATCAATTTAAACTGATTGTAAATAATTCTCTAGAATTTAATAAAAATAAAAAATCCGTAGATGCCTCCGCTTTGTGAACCGGTTCGATCTGATTGGAATATGCTCGAAGGTTACTTCGCTTACATTTCTTTAACAAGCCTTTCTCATTTGTATAAGTTCTTCCTTAACATCTTCAATTTCCTCCATTCCAACTACAAAAGACGCAGCAATGTAGTTATCCAGCTTCGCTAATATTCCATAGATTTGAAAATGTGGAGAAATTGAAGCAAAATAAAATAAAATTGTAAAAAAAAATGACAACTGTTTTGCATAAATTATTTCCAACAATGTATGTAGCAACTAAAATGAAATTATTCAATGTAGAAGATTAAGCAGTGATTGCTATTGTATTAAACATGCGTAATATTTTATATTCTATTATTATTAGTATACCTATATTGTTATACATGGACGTTATAACTTATCGATACAGGTAGTTAGTTTACCACTCCCATTTGAATAAGCATTTATAGATACAATTATCCAATAGTATCTAACAGAAGTGATTGGATGGCCTTTGTCAAACTCTTTTCCACAATTTTCATTCATTTATTTTAATAAAAGATGTTACCTTTTTTTTAGAGTTTTGAGTTATAAGAAGAATTTTGGGGTTCGATGATAAATTGTAAATAATGGCATATATTTTAAAAAGCATTTAATTGGACAAATTTCTCCCTCGCACTTTTGTCAAACAGCAGCCAGTAAATTTGATTACTTTTTAGAATTGGACAGAAATTATTATCATTGACATGTATTCGATCTATTTCTTCTTCTTCTTCCTTCAATTGAGCAATATTCAAACTACCGTAAGTCCACTTAAAAACTACATAACGCTGTAATACCTTGGAGATTTAAAATTTTGCACAGTGTTAGATTGATAATTGCATATTAATTTGAGGTAGCGCAAACGGATCAAACAGAACCGTTGGATTTATCAATATCGAAAATAAAAAAGGAAGAGAGCGAATCCCAAGGATTATCAGTGGAGACAGAAAGTGATGGACGAATAAAACTGCTTGAACGGCTCCTTCCAATCGAAACACTGATGGAAGTAATGGAATTATCAAAGCAAAAAAAAAGCACAAGAAAGAAACAACGCTGTAATGTATGTCAGAAGGAAGTAAAAAATGTGAAAGAACATTTGATGACTCATACCGGTGAGAAGCCGTACAGTTGTTCGATATGTAAAAAAAGTTTCACTCAGTTCGGGAATATGAAAAGACATATGATGACACATACCAGCGAGAAGTCGTATAGTTGTTCGATATGCAAAGAGAATTTCACTCAGTATGGGGGTATGAAAAAACATATGATGATTCATACCGGTAAGAAGCCATACAGTTGTTCGATATGCAAAAGGAATTTTACTCAGTTCGGGAATTTAAAAACTCATATGTTGACACATACCGGTGAGAAGCCGTACAGTTGTTCGGTATGTAAAAAAAATTTCACTCAGTTCAATAATATGAAAAGACATATGATGATGACTCATGCAGGCGAAAAGCCGTACAGTTGTCCGATATGCAAAAAGAATTTTGGACAGCCTCACATTGTGAAAAGACATATGGTAATTCATGGCACTGAAAAGGTACATAGTTGTCCGTTATGCGGAAAAAGTTTCGTACGAAAAAACGATCTGCAGACCCACATTGCGACTCATGACATGAATAGACCTATGTACCGTTGTACGGTATGCAGTAAGGGTTTCAGAAGTAAACTCGGCTTGAAATTGCACATGCAGAACCATTAAAGCTTACGCTTTGCGTTTCACTTTAAAAGAAGAAATGCACACTCATTGCTATTTCTGTTGTTGTTAATTATTTATATCTTATTAGTCAATATATTTCTTTAAATTTATCTCTTATGTTCTCGTTGCTGCGATATCACTAATTGCACCTATCACAAAATCACAACGTGACATATATTTTATCTCTTCTAATCTTTTCACAAATTCATTACTTTATTTATTCCAATTTCTATGATTTATTTCTTTGCATGCTGCAGTTGTGAATGCCAAAATTGGTTAATCGCCTACTCGTAATTAATTAAATTAAATTGTCCCGTTTTCTATATGGTGAAAATTAAATTTGCAAAAGTAAAAGATTTTATTGTTTCTTTAACATGTTAAAGAGTTTATAGCCTAAAAGAAAGAACGCAGCAAAAGAAGTGATTGACATCGTGGCGCAAAAGCTTATAAAAAGCTGAAGAAAATTTGTGAAATTACTGCTGATATTTACTTCAGATTTGAGTATAAAAAATAACTCAGTGGAAAAATTTCAATGAAAAAGACGAAATAAATTTTACTACTTTTCTTTTCTCTTTACTTTAAGCATAGATCAGACAATCTTTACGATCAGCTGATATTGCTAAAGAAATAGAAAAGAAAATGGATGACGAAGGACTGATAGTTGCTAATAATGTAGTGCAATAATTAATATGGTGCAAAAACTGGTATACGTAAATGAATAGCACTAAGTTCCGCTATTAAGTACTGTCATTTATTTAATTAATATTTTGATAACGAATTTACAAATTTCCACAAACATCGACAGTTTCACTTTAGTTAATGCAATGTATTCTGCAGCATTGTTCCATATTCTGGTCGAACAGCAACAATTAGAAATAGTATGCTTGCGCCTAGCATAGTAGCTCGTTCTTGAACTGCTGTTTGATCACTAGAATAATGAGATTTCAGCAAATTATAATTGTTTTCTTTTTTCAGAATTTAAATTAACAAAATTATACTCAAATTTCAGATTACATCTCGAAAATTTCAGAAATTTGAGAAGTAAAAATAAATTTAATCTACCAAATTCTATATTTGACATGAATTGATGTGGAAATATAAGGCTGATTGCTCTTCGCATTGATCGTTTCATGTTTAACTTTTAGAATTCAGAAAATCACAAAAGAATATCCGTTATCCACATAGTGCTAATGTTATTTAGTAGTTTGTCACAGAAAATGAATAAATATTCATTTTTGAATATTTATTTATTATTTTTTCCAATTCTAAAGCTAAATATATATTTAAATAACAGTAAACGAAAAGTATCACTTCTGCTTAATAAAAAAAAATGAACTCTTATTCAATTTCCTGCAAAATTTCATTATATAATATACAAATTAAACCTGTAATTAATAATGAGAGATTTGGCTGTTGAGAAGTACGACGGCCTCAAGAAACCAATCTTTTCATTGCTTAAATTGAAAAATTCCAGTGCTTGGTCAGCATTAATGAGGTAGAAATATCGCAATATACTACTAAATGATCCAAAAATCTGGAATAAAAACTGAAGTGTTTGTACATTTTCTTGTAATTAAAGAAAAAAAAAAAAGAAAAATTATATCATTGAGATTATGCAGGTACACAGTTTGTTTACTTGTATATACCTTATAAATTTACTCCAATTTAATTTATCCGCATGACATTTTTCTTAAGGTCAGTCAACACTCTATGTAAAAATATTTAATGCGACAGGCGTTTCATCATTTAATCAGTTGAAATAAAAAGAAATATTTACATCTAATTTCTGATACAAATTAATACTAAATGTTATATCCAAATTTATCCAGTTTATTGAAGAAAAAAAATCCACAAATTTTAACGAACTGATTATCGATTATGCAATATTGAAATGATTAATTAATTATTACTCAGTGAATGAATACTTCTCTGAACAATCGATATTATTATCATTGACTATTATTGTCTTTCAATGTATACAATATTTCATTTTAATTCAGAAAATTGAGTGATAGAAAAAATAGCGAAATTTTTTATCAGTTATGAAAGACTAAAATCATTTACCTGTGTAACTGGTGTATTAACAACATTCAGAAATGGTTCACCAAATTTTGAAATCACATATCTTTGACTAAATGATTGACATTTTACTTGTTCAACCTAAACAAAAAATTTACATATTGTAGTCTTTACACACACAATTTGCATGTTATAAAGCAAGAAATATTCATTAATCCTTTCTTTTTTTTTTCCTTCAAATAAAAATTGAAAAAAAAATTTTTTTTTTAAATCTCAGATTCATAATTCATTTTAGGAGTTTCCTTTTTTTTGCACAGATTTTTTTGGACGTTAAATTATTATAATTGTTAATTTGAATAAATCAAAATGCAAGATATGTACATACCTTATACAATGTTGATCCAGCAGGATGTAAAATTTTACCCATGGAATTTTGAGAATTATCCGGAAGTCGTATTTCCATTACTGTATTGCCTTGTAATGTTTTCACTACAACTCCTTG